GTGTTTCTTCAGAAAACCCAGTGGATATCCTAATTCAATCAAAATATTATGAATGTGTTGTAATTCTCTATCGATAGTGTCGACTGAGCATATCTTAAGAGCTCTATTTGCAAGGCATTTGACTAAGTTTCTCTTATAATGAAGAGGCACAAAGCTTAAAAAATGTGTGTATTGGCTATGCGAAGAACTTTTCCTATACACACCCCTGCTGATAGAACCATCTTCTTTTCTACTTAACAAAACGTCCAGAAAATTTAGTTTGTTATCTATTTCCTCCTCACATGTAAATTTAATAGCAGGATGTTTGTTATTAAATAGTTCCAGTAGTTGTTCTTTTCTAAGGTTTTGATCGGCAATGATGAAGGTGTCATCAACGTAACGACAGTAGAAATCCAGTTTATTGATAACCTCCTTGAGAGGTCCGTTTTCTAGTTTCGCCAGAAAAAAATCCGCAAGGATGGGACCTAGTGGCGAACCCATCGCTATACCATCAATCTGTCTATAATATGTGTTATTAAAGACAAAATGGACATTCATTGTGCATTTTAAAAGTAATTCTTTAAGACTAACCCCAGGAATTCCAATATTGATTTGTTTTTCCTGCAGTTGTTGGCACACAAAATCGATAGTCTCTGTTAACGGCACATTGGTGAACAGGGAAGCAACATCTAAAGATATCATTCGTTTCCCATTTAAATTTATATGTTCCACTTTAGATATGAAATCGAAGACGTCTTTCACGCTTCTATTGACGACTAATTTGTGTAAGGGGTTTAGGATACGAACTAGCCACTTTGCAGTTTTATGATAAGGCGAATTATACATATCTAAAACTGGGCGAAGAGGAAGACCTGTCTTGTGAACTTTAGGTAAACCATATAGTCGCGGTGTGTTCGATCCAGTAGGCTTGAGTGAGTCATGTAAGTCAGGAGTAAGAATACCTTTATTTCTTAATTCCTTCAGTGAGATAGTCAGCAATTTTTCTGCCTTCATATTTAAGTCCTTAATGTCGTTGAGTTTCTGAAATTTTGTCGGATCATTCAAAATCACGTTCATTTTACTAATGTAATCAGCTTTGTTCATAAGAACTAGCCCCCCTCCTTTGTCCGGCTTGCTTATGATTAGAGTATTGTCGTTTCTAAGTACATGTAAAGCAATTGAAGGATAAGTTACCTGGTTATGCCACTTCTATGTGTATCTACGAATTCAGCTGCTCCTGTGGAGAAAGCTATATCGGGCGCACTACCAGGCAACTGAACCAACGAGTTAGTGAACACCTCCCTTCGTGGTTAGGAAAAGGCTATGTCAAAACAATACGCAGCTCGGTTCTATCACACTTGATCGATAGCGGTCATATAGTGGACAGAAACAAGTCGTTCAAAGTTATTTATCGGATTCCCACTAGTTTTCCTTATGGTGTTCGATCTCGTCTCTTACACATAGCAGAAGCTATAGGAATCCGAGCCAACAAGCCAAGTCTTTGTGTCCAGAAGAAATTTGTAACTCCCTTATCTCTCCCTTGGCCTTAAGTAATAAATGAATTTATTTATTTATTCTCTTCGTTTATTATTTTTCTTCACACCCTCCTACCACTTTACTTTCTCTCAACTATACGTTTCATGGTCCAATTATCTGAACATTTCTTATTACGTCATCTTATAATTTTATAATTGTTATCTCAGTTTCTATATTTTTTCTAATCATTGACCTATTTCAGATTATGTAACATTGATTTGAACCTTTATTATTATTGCTTATCAAAAACTAATGCACCTGTTGTCACACCATCAATTTGTACTTTTCACATTTTACTTATTATGTAATCTTTTCCATTGTTATCATTAACTTATAAACTACCTTGATTGGTTTAATAATTTCGTATATGCATATAAATATTACTGTATATTAGAGTAAAGCCTGATGAGGATCTAATCGAAAACAATATTGTTCGCTTATATATGTTGTTCTAAATTTACAATATGGGAATATTTCAAATTAACTTAATTGTCAAAGAAAATAAAAAACCAGTCAAAGAAAAATGTCTTTAACTTTTAAATTCCCTGATAAATCTTACTGAGGAAAGAAACAACGTCCAAAAAGTCCTTTCATGTTATCTGACTTCCACTAATCAATTGACTGGAACCGAAGAACAACAAAGAATTGAGTACTGAAATAGAAAGGTTGAAGATCCCATCAATGGAGCATTCAGTGCCTAGTTGTATGAATATAAAATGGACAACCATTCTTAAGTGACATTCATACTTTACTGGAATTTTCAGTTACTTCTGTTAACTGAAAATAAAGAGGGCATCTAGTGAGTTGTGTTATAAAAGACAAAAAAATTAGAAGTGAAGTAACTGGCATCATTTTTTTTACTAAATTACATACGAATACATTCAAACAATACTATTTAATGATTATCGTCAACCCAAGAGAGTGTAAGTTAGAATGATATCTTCAGTATTATTAGGAAAATGAGTCATGCATAAATTCTCCTGTTTAGAAGTTAAACACAACCCGATGAGATGACCTTGTACTACTTAAATTGTTTGTAAAAAAGACTGTATATTTTGTTCAGTTTGTCGAAACAGAAAGATAAATTTTTAAATGATTATTTCAAGCTAATCACATGAGCAAAATGGATCTTTTTTAGTAGGGGTATGTAGTTAGGTGGCAAACGTTTTCACCACTCAATGTCTACCTAAGCAACACTATAAACTTTGAAAAGTAATAACGGCGTATAATTAGTGCAAAATCATTTTAGCAGTTTTTTTTAATGATCTCCATCAATTCTACTGCAACTGCTTTCCTACGTACTCCCGATGTGCCATGATCCTTGACTTTATAATTGATAATAGTTTCTAGAAGAGTTCCACTCTGGACTGGAGTCTATCTTGGAAGTAGTCACTTATTAATACCCTTGATGTGGGCCCTGGAATTTCTGTCCGGTGACTCACTTAGTAATAGAAACTGAAAAGTCAATAGGAAAATTAATAACGACAACCGATTGTTACCAAGATAATCCACTGATTCACAAGCAAAGAGATTTTTGCAAAGAATCTTTTAAATAAAATTTATGATTCTGTCTAAAAAAGACTTTCGATTTAAAGAGCCTACACGACAATCTTTTGAATTTAGATTTTTTATTGTCCATCAACAGAAATGAATAACAAATTTCTGTTTCGTTTTGAATACTGGGATAATTTATTGAAGTAACCAAAGTTAATTATGAGACTGTCAAAAACCTTTTTAATTGATAACATACCTTTTATTTAGGTCTTTATATTATTTGATATGAATAGTCATACAGCATATATTCAACGACTTTTCAATGTAAGCTTCAGGCTATGGTTCATTTGTAATGTGGGAATCTATTTTTTTTCAAACTTAATACATTTAGAGTAACTACTAAATCCAATCTAATGCAGACCAGGTTGTTTTTGTTTGCTTATGATTAACACAAAATACAATCATACTCAAAATATCGTGTTACTTATTTTAACTCATCATATCTCGTATCATGGAGCCGTAGATAGTTCGTGTAATTTATTAAATCTTAGTCATTCTTCCTTCAGCCAAACACTATTTAAAATAGATAGAACTTACATAAATAAATATATTTTTTGCTATATCCCAATAAGTAGAAAATTGTATTTCCGACATTTCGTAACTTAATGTAATCCACTTCAGTTATTTATCTATTCCGAGGAAGTGGTTTACATTAAGTCACGAAACGTCAGAAATACAACTCTTCTACTCATTGGGATATGACAAAATATATATTCATTATTAAATCTCCACCCAATGCTCAATTTATTTCAGGTCCCACCTTGTCATTGATACCTATGAACTTACATAGACTCCAAGATTGTCAAATGAATGTAAGTTCATCGGTAATTTTAATGTTCAGTATTGAAAGTTAATAGTAACGCCCTGTCATATTTCATGTCAGTGGAATTTATTGACGGATGGTTCACTCATACCATTTGAGCGAATTTGTATCGGTTTTGTTTAGTTTGATTATTGTTCTTTCAGAAAGTTAAGAATAGAATCAAATAATAGAAAATAATATTATTCCACTTTAGTTTAATAACATCTCGTATAGACTTGTTCTCTCAAAGTATATATGATAAACTTCGATATATTGTTAGTTTGGAATTTACTTCACATACATTTGAAATATTGATTATAAATATTGAAGTGATTTTTCTCTTCATATTATCGATTGTGTTATGAACGATACACTTATCATCGAAATCAATAAGATTAGGTCCTGTAAATTATTTGTGAATTATGTGAAGAAGGAATACATTTATACTTTTTTCTTCAGTCTTGCATACTTTCTGCGACCTACATAATCCAGTTATGTTTCGATGAAACCAGGTCCATTTTCTGATAACACTTACTCATTATAAATTTGTAATCTGGAATATAAACTTTCAGGGTGTCAACGTAAAAAGTTTGTTGAACAAATTAAACAGTAATTAAACAAGACTCATGACAATCTTTAGACATTCATTCTCCCTTTGTAACTCATGCTTCTCATCATGCAGTGTAAACTAATGCTTCATGCTTCCGTGATCAGTTCTACGGATTTATATAAAATTTAATTTTCCACCTTAAATCAGTGAATATTATTTACAGGATACTAAATGAATTTTATGATGTTTCCTCCTCAAAAACCAAAATAACTTTACGAACTGTTGGAAATCTGTCCTGATTTACTTTCAAGTTCTTTGGATAATGAAAACCATAAATCCGCCATCGAATCAAATTTAGGATTTTGTAGTAAACAAACTAGTGTTGGAACACTGGATGAGGAGTGAATTATCAACAATTTGTCAAATGTTACCGATAGAAATTCGTTACAAGACCACTGTAGAAGTGGAGAGTGGTGAATAAGAACGACGGTGCTAATTGTACTTTGACTTTCAATTCATCCTTATAAAACGATGCTATATGTTGATGATGAACCTTTCACTTTAAATGTAAACAAGAATGAAATTCAAACAGTATTGTTTATTGAGTAACTAATGTGTTTATCTTATCAATATGGTTTCTCTCTGAAATGTATATACGCAATGAGAATTCTGGTGTAGATTAGAAAATACGATACAAATAAGATAATGTGTGCAAAACTATACACACAGATACATGAGATGTTGGTTTAAATACAGAAATCTGTTTGATATTTTTATTAGTCTTTTCTCAGGCGTTTGAAAAAAGAAAACAATAAATAGCAGATGAAGAGAGAGAGATGGCTATGAAAAGACAAGATACTACCATGTTGGAAACGAAGAAACTAAGGAAAAGATAAATTGATGGGGAGAAAGGAAACACCAAGAAACCACAAAACTGGACGCCAAAATGAGGAGAAAAGGCACACACGCACAAGTACGGCACAAAGTAAGCAATGGTGAGGCAGAGATACAGAAACAAAGCAAAGTACAGAAAAGAGAAGACAGGTATCGGAAATGGTACTGAAAAGATTGGAACACCCAAGGAAGTGATCATGATAAAAAATGTAATCAGAGTGGAAGAGATCCGTTATAGTTCATTTTACGTATACACTAAATTGAAAACGAGTAATTATATCATTCGAGCAGGGAGGGAGAGAAAGGATGATGACAGTGCTCTGAAGGCAATCCAGAAAAAAGAGCAAATAATAACGCGGCATAAAATATTTCTAAAACTATTTCATATTGACGTATGAAAATGAAAGAAACTAGGCAAGAGAAAAATAACTAAATCATTATGCAAAATCATAACAAACAAAAACGATAAGATACAACGAAAGTAAAATCAAGAAAACAGGCATATTTATCTACGGTTCGTTGACATTGAATTATATATACCAGAGTATACATCGATATTTGTGTCCTTTTTGTATATGTAAAATTGACCGCTTCCAAATTAAATGTATAAACGGAAAACAATTGTAGTGAGAAAAACCAATCAAAGAAAAGCATCAGTCATGTTTATCTTTCACCACAAAACAAATCGATTGAGTTGATTTAAGATTTCTTTAAAACGGATTCCCATTACACACGAACAAAAACCCGTAAAACCATACATATCGGTTATAAAAAGAAACACATCGAATAAGCAATTTATAGCATTGAGCTAAATTAGGATGTGAAATAGAATAGTTTTTCCGGAAAAAAATCAGTAACACTTCAAATAGAATGGAAATAAATTATACAGTAAGATAATATTATGTTTTCGTGTAATACATTAGTTTATACGAATTGTTTGTACATTTTCGAGTAAACAAATACACAACAACAACGAAAAATAAACTAGAGTGAATAAGTAAATAAAACAAGTGAAAATAAGATTGAATAATAACAGGTTGGAGACTTAATAAAACTTGAACTACACACATCATAAAAGCGTACTCAAATATATACTTATATATATATTAAAATCACTTATTTCCACCAGACCATTCTATGAGGTATAGGAACAATAAGTATTAGATGTATGTATTAGTAAATAAGAATAGATAGGTAGTGAGTAGCATAATTATTCACTTTTTCTACTGTACTCTATACATAATAATCACATGGATTGATTGTTACAGTATTTTCCTAGTCTCTTAGTTTTATTCTGTGTCAAACATGCACATAATAATACACTCCGTCCAATATCACCGAGACTGAATATGTGTACAAATATCATTATCATTAACAAATGTAACCGAATAAAAATTGAGACCATTGCGAAATTACATTTCATGAAGAGATGAATACATGAATGAAGAATGTGAAAGTATGTACTAATACATACTACTTCGTCTGTGTGTTTGTACAAAGATTCCTGTTAATCAAGAAGCTAATTAAAATGCTGTCGCCAAATCACAGGTTTCATTTGTTTTAGTCTGTTTGTTATTACCTGCATCAATGATCTGCAAAATATATTAAAAAAGAGAAGGAAAAAGACAACTGAAAATATAGTAGTAGCATTGATCGCATTATTAAAACTGGTATTATTATACACGCCTTAAAAAATTACGTAAAATCACATCACAGCACACGCACAATGTGGCTTAAAAAAATCGATAAGTTATATACACCAACAGCAAAACATACATGTATAATAGGTGTACAAACATGGATGTATGTTTGTGTGCATACGTGTTTGCCGATATAATAATGTGCAATGTGTATTAAGAGCAAGAATTTTTATTGATGTTCATAAACAAAAAGTTTATACACACAGAAAAACTAAACTGTATTCTAAAAACATACGATTTCTCAAAGCGATAAATTTGAGAGATTTTCATGTGAATATAAGGTAGTATATTCTTTGAGCTCGATATTTTAACTGAAGAGATTTTACTGTCATTCTGGACATTTATAGGGTCTACTACTTCATGTGGAAAATATTGTGTAGAATGGCCATGAAAGCTCTGAAATTCAACTGCCTAGGTCAGAGAAAACAACAACAAGACCGCCGATATATATAATCTGTGTGATTAGTAAAATCCACAAACTATTACAGTAGTCACTGTAGAGATTTTGTACAAGCTGTTAGATATTGTAGATTAAATCACAGGGTGATCATATTTAAAAATCGATAGTGGATCAAGAAGGACTGTGTAGCTATTTCATACCAGAACAATACTCCGCAGTAGTGTCCATGCACAACGCAATCACAAATGAAACCCAAGAACATCAGATCTCCTTCACTTATTTAGTTGATCCTTTCTGGATATTTCTAAAAAAAAGATCCTTCTTCATTCATGAGTGTAATTACATACAATTCATAGTGATCACCAAATGCTAAAAAAACTGAAGGTTACCACAAACCAAAACAGTCTAATAGCTAGAAACTTAGTCGATAGAGGCATTATTTTCAACTTTCTTAGAGGACTCAAAATAACTAACAGACAAAAAGTGTGGTTTCATTATGTTACGTACAAGCAAGTTGTTGTCTGAACTTTGTGACGATGTCTTCTAAGTCTCTGATTAATTCAGGTCACAACTAAAAGTTCTTGTTTAAAGACGTTCAAGCATATTGAGTTGTACAATCAAAAAATAACTTCAACGTTTTAGGTCTAATAAAGTGAACTTCTAAAAGGTCAGACCGGATCAATGCAGAGGGCGCATACTAAATATCATTGGTAGCTTCATTTATCGATCATCATTAACCATTTTATTCACTTCAAATTATTATTTTCTCTAATTCCTGATTCCCATTCATCTAATTCTTAAAACTGTCAAATTTTCAGACCTATGATGCAGTTTATTTTATCAATTTTTGAATTATAGATAATTACTATCTCAACCCCATTTTATTTTCGAGATTTATCGTCAAATAACCTAACACGTCTACATGAAATAACAACCCTTGTCAAATATAAATTTTTCAGTCACAAATATTTATCATCTAATATTATTTCATACTTCAATAAGAATATGGTTATGAGCAGTTGACGATAACCTACGAAATAGAAATGGATTTATACTATTCTACGTAAGTTGTTATCTTTGCTTTCTGTTCAGATTCACTTAAGGGAATAATTAAACTGAGTACGTAACTGACATGTCTTAAAGTCAAATCTATGTGAGAAAAGTTGTTTATATGTCAAGATATGAAAGCATCTTAGAAATAATTTAAAATGATCTGTAGCTCGAATTAACCAAGAATTTCAGTCATTCTAAACAGACTACTACACACGAAAAGGGAAGAATATACTAGGTAGTGTTATTTGAATGATATTTCACTAGAATTACATTTCCAGAGACGAAGTTTCAGTTTGTAAGCATCAATATCGTGGAAGGTCAAAATCACCTATACAATAAAATCAGTAACCTGAATAGATTCACATTTAAAGGTTGCTTAATTCCATTAATTTTAATAATTCATCAGAATAAAAGTTGCACGGATAATCTTGAAATTAAGACTAAAAACACTATGTGAAAAAAGGCGCATATGATATGAAACAATCAAGAGTAAATAGAGTACGAAACCTTACATGAATGATCATATTCTTATTGATTAGTCATGTGCACTAACATTTCTAAAATTGCAGAATTATGAATTAATTCCGTAATGGTTATCACTAACAGTGCAACATCAAGAAACAAGCGGTTACATAAGGTTCACAAAGAAAAACAACTAGTTAGCTGATAAATTTGCAAAAAGTTAACACAATAACCCAGTGCATTAAAAAACTTGGCTAATAATAATTGGATAGTGGATTCCCAAATTCATAAACAACACCTATATTAATTATTACAAATGAATAATATCCTTAGTTCTTATCCAATGAATACAACTCATAGTCGACTATCTGTATCTAAACCTAGTTAATTTATATTATCTTATAGAATAAGTTCGAGAATTAAGGATTTGTGAAAAAATGAATGAATAATTGATTTTTATCTGCTACAATAGTCAGCAGTAAAACTACTCACTTAACAATTTATTATCTTATCCACCAATGAAGTACATGTTTACACGAAAAGCCACACTTATTCTAAACAGTAACCTCTATCAATCATCCAAAGTTATTTATAGTAGGTAAATTGGTTGTACGCAGCGTAGACTACGACACATATGGGCATCGATTCAAGTTGCCTTAGCATATTAACATAGATGTATGAAATTATTTCGAGACGTATCAACAAGTGGTAGAAATGGCAACAAGATCAGTAAAAGTAGAAAAGATTAGGCATAGAAAAGAAAAAAAGGTTATGAGATCTCGGGGACTAGGTTATAAAGAAAGACAAGGAGTGAATGGACGAGGACTATTGAGAACGACTATGAGATATGCCACCCGAAGTTTCTAACCACTAATTACGACAATCATGCCAATCCTAACCAGGTAATCTAAACCTACTAACGAGGCTGAGGAAAACAGTCAGTGACTTGGTGCGTTGATTCCAAGTCTTGGTTAGGTCGCCCCTAGCATTCTTTCAACCTAATACACTACACAGTATCGTCCACTGAGGTAGGTGGTGGTTAGGCATACGCAACGCAACACGTGTTCTAACTAACTCAGCTGGTGAAGATTCATTAGCTCATTGATCGATTCGCAATATTTACCTAGTACCCTGTGCGAAACCTCGAGACTGCTCACTCGGTGGTGCCGAAATACATGAGCGATGCTTCGAAGATACCTATACTCAAATATCACCTATTCGTAATAGCCATGTCTCATATCCATAAAGTAGAACGGAGCGACCTGTTGTGCAGAAAACTAGTCCTTTGGTTGGTAGACAGATATCTCGTCTACCTACCAAGGGATGCAAACTGCCAGAGCCAGCTGAGCTTTCTGAATCTATGTCGAGATTTTGTTAAAAATTAGCCCATAACGTAGTCTATAAAATATGAACTAAATGTAATTCGATTTAACGATGATTCCCATTTACTACCAGAACATTAAATTGCTGAAAAGTGTTGATTAGCTCAGAACATTGTTCATGCTTCTTTTGTACATGAAGTAGGAATATAAATTACCAAGTTCTAATGTTGTGTTTCATTGAATTTCAACAAGAAAAAACTCAATTGAATATCATTTATACAAAAACTAAAAACATTCATTTTCCATTCAACTAATTCAGTAACGCAAAGGTCTATGTGATTTAAATACACCAATCATATATATAAGAGAAAATCCTGACCAGAAAATACAAAAATGTTTGTATTTTTCTTACGTCTTTTTGTGTTGAACTTATTATGCAAAATGTGTACCATCTATGGATACACGAGTTTATATTTGAATCTGTAAAAATTAAAAGTGTTGATATGACCAGAAGAGAATAATTCTATATACAGAAACACAATGAATTTATCTTATTTCTTATGAAACACAAATAAAGAAAAATCCCAAAAATTACTACATATAAACAATTGAATGAGAAATCGGGTGGTAATGTTGATTATGGAGACCTGTGAAACTAAAATAAACGTTTAATCGACTCCATAGTTCATATTCCATTTAATTAATTTGAATGAACTTCGATAACCCATTGCACATGGTTATGTACTAAGCTTTATGTCACATCAATTATGGACGAGGACTAAGGAATTACATACTGCTTGCTATTTGTCTGTCAAACCCAAAGTCGACAAAAATTGGTTTAGAATTACAATCCAAATGGATGAAGATTAAATAAGTTAACATTTAATGGAATTATACTCTACGACTAGTAAAAGATCGAATAATAGTCAAGCTTATTGATATGAAAACTTCTAGGAATGTGCAGATTTAAATGTGGCTTCATTTGGAATAGATTTTTTAAATTTAAAAAAACGATGTTTTGAAGTATACAGGCTACGAAGCGTTATAATATACTTACATCCCAAAGAAAAGTGAATGGAAATATAAAAAAACAACTCAAGAACATTAGATCATGATCAAAAATTAAGGTGACGAATTGTAGATGCATCATAGATGTTATCATAATACAATCTTCAGGCTTTATCCGTCGTAACAATAAAGCATAGTTAATAGGAATACTTTTTTTCTTTTTTGGGGCCCTATCATATTATATCGGTTGATTTTGAGATTTTACGAAAAAAACTACATTTAAAAGTGTTTGGAGATCCAGAATACTCCTCAAAAAAAGCCAAGAAGGCTTTGAAAACACTAAGAAGCACCTTATCCGATCAGCGTTCGCTAGAAAATCTGCCAGAAACATCAAGAAAGTGAAAAGTCACATGTAGAGTTTCTGATTGGATGGTTACCTATACTGCTTCTACGTTTAGAAGCATTCCAGAATTTTCAAAACCCACGGACATCTAAAATAATATAAAAACCCTATATTTTCTGTACAAGAACGAACCTTTAGAGTAAAGTGTTCCTTACATATTTCGTACCTTTCCTCTCGTGTTCTGTGCCTGTCCCAGCAAAACCTTGCTTCTAGTGAATTACAAGTATCACATACTGGTTCAGAAATTAATGCTATGCATGAATTTAATTTTGATGGTGTAGCAGGTGTAACTTTTGATTCTTGGTTTAAGTAATATGAAGATTTGTTCTATATTAATCTCTGCAGACTGGATGACCCCTCAAAAGTCAGAATACTTCTAAGAAAACTTGGGACGACGGAACATGAACGCTATAGTAATTTTATTCTCCCGAAGAACCCACGAGACTTTAGTTTTGATGAAACAATTGAAACCCTGTCTCAAATCTTTGGAGAACAGTCATCTCTATTTAATATCCGTTGCCAATGCTTGAAGATAACGAAAGAACCAGATGACTGGGTGAAACATACAGGAATTGTGAACCGAGAATGTCAGAGGTTTAAGTTGTCTCCCATGACTGAAGACCATTTTAAATGCCTAGTATTTATCTGTAGCCTGCGTTCACCCGAGGATGCTAACATCCGAACAAGAATCCTAAGCAATCTCGAACACTGTCCCAACATGACCCTATGGGAAGTAGCTACTGAATGCCAAAAGTTAGTGAATTTGAAGCATAATACCTCAATGGTAGGGAACGGTAACATGTTCCTTCACGTTAATTCAGTTGAGAGAAAAGTCTTACAGGGTTCAAACACGCAGAATTATCGTAATGACAGTGTCAATCCATCATTCTCATGCTATTTATGTGGCGGTTGGCGTTTCAAAAGGTTTGGACCGTTTAAAAATCACCTTTGTACTATGTGTTTCAGAAAAGGGCACAAAGAAAGTCATTCCGAAACCCGGAAACGCCGTCAACCGAAAGTGTATTCTAAAATATGCAAGCCACGAACAGCTAAAGTAACGGTAGCTCTAGACAAAGTATGTTGCTCTCAAGATTAATGGGTATGATGCCCGCTTACAGTTAGACATAGCCTCCGCCTCCGACATAACACTTATAAGCAGAAGAACGTGGGAGAAGATTGGGACACCGCGAATATATTCAACTCACCAATCAGCACATAGCGCATCCGGGGGAATTCTAAATATTGCTGGCAAGACTCACTGTGAAGTCACTCAAAGAGTTTACGGAGAAGGGAGTAATATTTTCGACAGAACGTCCATCACTCGACATATTGGGGCTTGATTGGATAGAAAGGTTGAAGTTATCAGACCGTCCCATAAACTCGATGTGACGACGTCAGTACATCGAAAGTTGAGAAAAACTCAGTGGAAACATCAAAACGACATAAAATCTTATTTAGTGAGGGTCTTGGAGAATGCATTAAATTTAGAGCTGCTCTTACACTTTGAAAGGGATCGAAGCCTGTGTTTCGACCTAAAAGACCTGTACCATATGATGCCTTCCCAGTGGTTGAACATGAGCTAGAGCGACTTCAGAAATTGGGTGTCACTGAACTGGTGAATTTCTCAGAATGGGCTGCACCGATAGTGGTAGTAAAGAAGACTAATGGTAGCGTCCGTTTATGTGTCGATTACTCAACTGGGCTAAATGAAGCCCTAGAAACTCATTAGTATCCATTACCTCTACCTGAATATCTTTTGCTAAACTGAATGAAGGCAAGCTCTTCGCAAAGTTGGGTTTATCGGAAGCTTATTTACAAGTTCCTGTTGCTGATGAGTGTAAAAACCTGCTCACCATAAACATATACAAGGGCCTATTCCGGTATAATCAACTACCTTTCGGAGTCAAGACGGCCCCATCCATATTTCAGCAAGTCATGGATACTATGCTACAGGATGTTCCAGGCGCTGCAGCTTATCTGGATGATATAATAATTAGGGGAGTAGATAGAATAAACTTAGAAAAGAAGCTCGACCAGGTGCTGTCACGAATATTCGAATATGGACTTTGGCTCCGTCCAGAGAAATGTAAACTTTGTATCCAAAAGGTACGCTACCTCGGATTTATAGTCGACAAAGATGACAGAAGACCAGATACAGAGAATATCGCAGGCAGTGAAAGCTATGCCTAGACCGACGGACGTCCCCACACTTCAATCATTTTTGGTACTAGTCAGTCATTATGAAGCTTTTATCCCTAACCTTCATCAATTACGTGCCCCTTTAAATAACCTTCTGGCGAAGAATGTAAAATTGAATTGATCTGTAACTTGCTAAGTCAATCAAGAAAATACTAATTTCGGATTTGTTGCTCACCCATTACGATCTATCTTTACCCACTGTTGTAGCATCAGATGCTTCAAACTACGGTATAGGAACAATTATTTCTCACATCATGCCAGATGGATCTGAGAAAGCCATATCACATGCGGCTAGATCGTTAACGTCGGCAGAATGTAACTACAGTCAGATCGAGGAGGAAGCATTGTCGATTAGTTACTTACTTACTTACTTACGCCTGTTACTCCTCGTGAAGGAGCATAGGCCGCTCACCAGCATTCTCCATCCAACCCTGTCCTGGGCAATCCTTGTAAAGAAAATTCACAAGATGATATTTGGACGTCATTTCACCCTATTAACTGACCATAAACCATTACTAGCCATTTTTGGGTCGACGAAAGGTATCTCGATATACACAGCAAACAGACTGCAACGTTGGAGAACTACACTCTTGGGTTATGACTTCAAGATTAAGTACCAGCCCACTACAGATTTTGGACAAGTTGACGCTTTATCTAAAATGATTGGTTCACAAGTAAAACAAGAAGACACTTTGGTGGCAGCAATCGAGACGGAAACAGAAGTATATCGAGTATTGGAAGACGCCGTCGATGGTTTACCAGTTACTTTCAAGGCCATCAAAGAAGCCACGGAAAATGACAAGACATTAAGAGAAGTTAGTGGTTACTTTCACACCAACTGGCCGGACCGTCGTTTTCAAAGGAAGTGCTATAATATTTTCGCCGACGGGACTCACTCATGATGGTCGATTCCTGTATTATGTTTGGTGACAGAATTGTTGTTCCAAAAACATTAGGCTACAGGGTTCTGAGATAATTCGACCGCGGTCATCCCGATATCAATAAGATGAAAGCGTTGGCTCGAAGCTATGCTTACTGGCTTACAATGGATCAGGATATTGAAACCAGATTCCGCAATTGTTCGTCGTGTCTGTAAGCAGCTAAAAGTCCAAAGAAGTGTGGACCACAACAATGGTAAAAACCCAATAGTCCCCGGGAGAGGCAGCAATATGAGGAAGAATGTTTCTAGTCATAGTGGACGAACTCACAAAATGGCCACAAATCTATGCCATGGCAAATTGCACAGTCAATGAAACATTCAGTAAGTTATTTGAGCTGTTTAGTTGCTTTGAAGTTCTGGAGACCTTAGTGACCGATAAAGGCTCACAATTCACTACAGAATCATTCAAGCATTTCTGCAACATTAATGGAATTGTACATATACAATCTCTACTCTATCATCCTCAATCAAATGGACAGGCAGAGCGCTTCGTGGACACATTCAAAAGAGCACTACTGAAAGGAGAAGGCGAAGGAAAAAGTAAAAAAAAACTTTCAGTGAAAATTCTACCCCTTATCCACTCCATTTATCCTTATCAGCAGGTTGTAATTGATGGTCAGATAGATGGACAAAAGCTTTTTCTTCATCCAATGATTATTTTTATCTAAGTAGAAAAAGCTTTACATTCGAAGAAGATTAGCTCAAATCTAAAAGTAACTCATTATTTTTAGTTTTTTGTGTTTCATCTCAATTCTTTTTTGAGTTATATCAATAGATTCCAAAATCAGGTTATTCCAAAAGAAAAAAAGAAATTTGCTTCAATACCTGAAGACGGTTCATTCCCATAAAATGTATATTTTTGTCATAATCATTTAACATATAAGGCGTTAGTGTAAACAGAACCTGATTCGACCAACGAACAATTAGATCACCCATCTGGGACTATGCAGCATCTTTATAATGTGAAAATTAAATGTTCAGCCGTTTAACGTGTTATGCACACGTAGTATATTAAGCTCTAGATACACGAGACCTTGGTTAGTAAATATTTGCAAATTATTTATGAGGTCATATTTATGAAGCTATAGTCAAGAATGGAACGGCCAATTATGGAAAACAAAATTAGGTTATGTGAAAATACTGTCAAGAAGTCTGTTTGCATTATCATTATTAATATCGTTATTGTATAAAAAGTATATTCAAAATACGTGATAAAAGGAATCTAATTGTAGTTTATATATATAAAACATCAAGAAAACATACCTCGTCTGACGACTGACGATCCTCTGTTTTAAGTCCAGTGAAATCAACAGATGATGGACGAGGTATATAATGTTTAACTTCTGAAAATGGTAATGTTGATGAAGATTTAATTGAAGTAATATCTTCAATTTCAATCGTAGCTTGGGTGTAAGGACGATTATTATTGCTATCATTTGTAATAAGAGTAGTGTTATTATTATCATTGACGAGATTATCAGATGAAGAAACAAATTGCATTTTTGATATTCTTTCAGGCAATAGCTGATTCTCATCGTAAAGTTTATACTCCACTTCACGCTGATGATCATATTTACTTGTGTTAGCATCACCATCGCTATCGTCATCGTCATCATCATCATTGTCGAATTCATTCCAAATGGTTGATTTCATTGAAAACGTTTTAGGCGTCTCCGTAATAGGTAAACTTGATGGTGGTATACGCACTAAAGGATAACATGATATATGCGATCTGGGTACAAGACCTCGTTGACCTTCAGAATTTTCAGCTAACATCCATTCTATTTCACCAGGTGGCTCACGGTTAACTATAGTAAGGAGTTCGTTTGGTTTAAGTGGCAATTCATCTGGTTCTAAATGAGCATCCATGGAACCTGGTCCAGCTGCTTCTATTCCACGAGGGAAGAGCGCATAAACCCGACCAGATGCGGCAGAACCAAGACGTTCATGTTGGACTGAATGTAGTTTTTTCAAGAAAAAATTACGAAAAAGAAGTCACTCAACTAATCACGGTAAACCCCTTTTAAACCAATTTAGAAAACCGAAAGATGTCTGTCTTAACTAAGAACTACACGCTAAAGGATAGTAATTTTCTAAACAAAGAACTTACAAAGCTTTTTACTGGTAATATTAGAATTTTTCGCTCAAATAATGAATTGATTTTCTAAAATAAATCCTTGGAAAAACTTGTACTCGAAATACCAACTGAATACCAACAACAATGATAACATAGTAAATAAATAGATGTACAAAAATATGGTTGTGGAATATTGTGGATTGATGCATACTGTTGAGGAGTCCCATACTAGGACGAAACGGCTGTTCAGTGCTACCAGATTTTTGATGGTGATCTAGTTAAGATCAGTTCATGATTTAAACTGTGAAATCATTGATCAACTTTAAAGAAGTCTGATAAAGATGATAATGTTGATCTTGCATTTAATGTAGTCGTTATCGAGTTCAGGAAACCATCTATTATTAGAGCTGTTTTACCAAACAACCGAGAAATCTTTAATTTATTAGCATAAAGCCGTTTTTCACTTCTTAAACATAATTTAATTGTAAAAGTGTTTGTAACTTGCTACTTGTTTAAATTCTTGTTAATGGGGATTATTAACACTATAGTGCAATAACCTAACTTTTTATGGCCGAGGTTATTAACATTTTCACTGATCAACAGATCTATTGTATTCAGTAATTTCGGACAATCCGTCCATTCAGTATGTTGGTGTAGTTTTAAGGCTTACAGCTAATTATATTTGTGATCTCCATTCCGAATATCGTGCAGCACTACGACAAAATTTTCGTGGTACACAGTTGGGGATAACCCTCCAGACATTTGGAATGAAGTCTTCAATAGAAACTAAACTTCAATATCCAGCACTCATCCACTAAACAAGTGAAAAAAGTTCGAAAGTACTGAACACAACATGAACATTGAATAAGCTCTGAATAACCACAGCCATTTTGTTTTAACATAAAAATCTAACTGCAACTTTTTATATGATAAATGGTTATCAAGAAAGCTGAAATTGCTCCTTTAAAAAACCAACTGACACTGAGGTATCAAAGATTAACATAACTATCATTAGAAAGGGTTTTTTGAAGATCTTGATAATTTAATAGTTAAATCCATGAGTCAATTAAAGCTAGACCACCATGGAAAACGTGGAAACACTGGACGGCCTTTTCGCCCTAGTATGAAACTTTTCAGCACTGAGCATCCAGGACCTATCGGTTTCGCGCGAATTGACAAATATCGACTACCTGATTAGATAATGAACTTTTTGCTTACAAGGGTGAGTTTTTTGTAAAAGTCTAAACGTCTGTTAGAACGATCAAGTAATAGAAACTTAGTAGCCCATAAATAATGTAGCTAGCCAATGATTGAAAGACACTAGTTCAGATATGCATGTAACAATGTTTTTTGATTGAGATCATGAATCGACCAACGTTAGACGAACATTTAAACGATTTTCATGAATATGAACATAGCTGGAAAGTAGAAACTATCAGAATTAATCCAGTTAATCTAATTGTGAACTGAATACAAAACTATTTAAGTCATATCACAATAGGCGTGAAAAAAAGATAAGGGTTGGAAAGTACAAACTTTCCTAGCATAGTGGTAAAAGAAAGAGAGCGTTATCAAAGTTATTCTAACGGTAATTTTAATGAGACCTTTTTATTAATGAATAAATATATGACTATCAGCGATATCTGATGAAATTTATGATTGGATTTATCAACATTCTAGTACAGTCGATAGGGATTTGAAAACACTAATATTTCATCAGCAGTGATAGAGAAGAATCTCTAAAAATATGAAAAATTCAAACAGCTCGAATACCAAACCAAGAGAAAGAGTAAAAATGATAGTGAATTTATACTCCAAATCAATCATGAAAAGAATGATTATTCAAGTAGGAGTTGATTCAGATTTATTTTAAAATTTATGTTATTTTCAAGAAGTCTGTTAAAACAAAGTAGTTAATAAATCTATGGAAGTGAGAACAATTTACACAGAATAAACACATCACTTACAATACAGATATTCTTCACATTCAGCTTCTTCATCTCCTTGATCACACTTTTCCAAAGGAGTTTCCTGATCCGATAAAGTACGAGCGTGTAATGAAGCCCCGTGTTCAACTAATAATTTAGCTAAAGGTACATTTCCGCAAGATGCAGCACAATGAAGTGGTGTCCAACCATCTGTATCACCTGCATTTACATCAGCACCAGCTGTAAGTACAAGAAATTCAGCTACATCCACACGGCCAGCACAGACGGCATTATGTAATGCTGTAATACCTTCATCGTTTGATTCAGAAACATCAGTAACCTATTTTTTAAAATGGGAAATCGAACAAACAAATTAATGAAACATAATGTGTGAATACAAATAACAAATTAATTGGGAGTCAAATATTTGTACTACGAAACCTTGATTTCCAAAAATATGTACAAAATACTAATATAAAATAAACAATTTACAGAGTGACATTTGAAGTGTACTTAGCATAAAGATTCCAAACATTAGTTTGATTCGTTTGTATTGGTTGTTTGAATCTACTCATTGATGTTTAAGATTGCAATTTATCAGTCTCTCTTTGCCATATATGCATTCTGTGGGGATTGCCTCGATATTGTCATCAATTCACAAGCATTACAGGCAGAGATAGATCGTAGCTAGCAATGGAAGAGACTGATCAATTGCAATACTAAGCATCAGTGGTTAGATTCAAACAATAAATACAAATGAATTGAACTTTATCCGATTGCACAAACCAGTGGCTATCTGAACTTAGTGATTAAGTGGATAACATGATGGCGTTTGAAGGTTCCAGTCCCGGAATGAACATGAATTCTGGGATGCAAGTACACCTGACTGACAAGTCCCAGATAGGATGAAATGTACCGGGTAAGCAATAGTGAGGTTAGACGCAGGTTATTAGTGAATGACGATAAATCAATTGATGTGGTTGGGAATCTTGATCGACTGAGATGGTTGGGTTACGTGTTGCGTTTGCCTGAACATCAATTACCACGACGCGCAATACTGACTAGTGTTGGGGATGGTTGGAAGAGAATTAGGGGAAGCCAAACCAAAACTTGGCATCAGTGCTTAAGGTCACTAACTTCTGCTCTTAGCCATGTTGGTAGATGCAGACTACTTGGTTGGGGTCCGCGTGACTATCGTAATCAGTGGTTGGAGAATCTGTGTGACATGGCTCAGAATCGATCAGAATGGCGTCGGTGTATACACTCTTTGTCTTCTCTTAAACTATGAGATTAACATTATTTCATATCTTTCTTTCTACAAACTGATTCTTTCTTCCTGTATTATATCCTTATATGCAATCTTTCTTTTATATATTACCACTGTGGTGCGTGCTACTTATATTGATATAAGTAGTATATAACGTGAGTCAAAAGAACGCAATGTCTGGCAGCAGAAGATGGAGAAGATCAAGAAAAGAAGAGCGAGAAAACAATGGACTTTGTAAGAAATCGCATGAACAATGAAATGCGAGACAATGGATATGATAGAATGACATTTTGCAAATTAACGATTTACTATATGGTTTTTCTATTTTACCAAGTAATTCTGTAATTTGTGCTAAATACAATTTGGCTATCCTCACCCGTGTTCTTCTTCACTACACCAACATCGAAGTAAGTAATGCTATGAATTTGGTGTTCATTCTGTTGTGCTAATAGGTGTGGCAACTTGGACCGATGCACATATGTGCCTGGTCCTACGTTGTGGCTGACTGACTGAAGATGAGATGTGCATCCTGAATCTCACTGTTAGCCACCATCCATTTCTATATCTACCTTATTTATTTGTTCTGAAGTGGCTTACATTAAGTCACGAAATGTTAGAAATAGCTTTCTACTCATTGGGATACATCACAAAATATATATTTATTATAATTACTTCAGTTTATTTGTGGAAAAGGTGAGCATATTACCAACTATTCGAGTAGTACATGTGAAATACTGTTAATATAACTATGAAAGTTGATCACTGGAACTGACAAAAAGAGTGGCCAATTTATATGATGACACAAATAATAAAAATACGAATATGAAGAGACTGTCATTATATGAAAAATACTTAGAAATATCGCGACATTCGAATCAAATTTGGTCTAAAAAATGTCGATTTAATTCACCATCAAACTAACAGGACCAGTTTTTTGTAACAAATTATATAAACGAAAAGTTTATATGCTTTCTGCTCCCCCCTGGTACGGCCGATAGTAGAGAGAGTCAGCTCTTCCTCTCGAAATGCTCTCACATGACCACGTGCATACAACAACTGCCAGGGAAGTCCTGCTCACTGCCTTTCAACACAGAGATGTTGTTTACCAAACTGAGAGAACGAAAAGCGAATGTCCGACGATTTAACATGGTTGGCGAATATGGAGGATCCACCTAGGGGAGTTGGAAAACCCTGATCCCAAACCAATGGTGCACATGGGCTGTAGGATCCTGATGGAACGAATGGCGTACAAACCTGTGGTTGGTGACCGGCTACCATGAGACTGCATCTCCTTACGTCGCTCCACTGCTTCGTGGATTAGACCATTAGGTCAAAGGCTCTGGGTGTGTTCCCCTAAGAAATTCATCTGCTTCAGTTTGGGCACCCGGGCAGTATCGCAGCTCACATAAATCGAATGATTTATGTAGCGCATATCTATTTGGTGTCTTGTACTAATGTTTATGTATTGAAATAAATAAACAATTATATCCTTGAAATTCTATTAGCTTATTCTTATATGAATAAAAAAGCATTATTAGCATGATGATTACTGAGTAAATTATAGATTATAACTAATACCCTAAAGAGGTCAAAATATTAATGAACTCAAGAGTTTAATTATAAAAAAGGGAAATATCTCACTAACCTCAGAAGCTGCTTTTTTCACTAATTCCAAATCACCTTCCAATGCAGCATCGAGCAATAAAGCTAATGGATGAAATCGTACAGAATTCGATTGGCTTAATGAAGATGTTAATGATTGAGTTGTTTCAGTTATACCATCTAAGCTAGAACTTTGTTTTGAAGTCAGTGGTGATGAGGAGGGTTTTGATTTACGTAGAATAGATTTAACTTGTCTTTCAATGTAATTACCTAAAATACAATATAAAAAACAGATGAGTAAAATAATTCATTCGATATTTTTTAAAAATGGACGAAAGAAATTCCAACAATATTAACATGGTAAACTTATGAGTTCACAAGCTTAGACTCAATGATAACCCGGCTATATTATGAATATCACCTCGTATCACGTTGATAACATTATATATAACCATAAATGTAAATTGATTCAAACATATGATGAAAAAACCCACTTAAATGACGACATATGTTTCATACAACTGTCTACAAATGTAAACAATTGTTTGAATGATAGATGCACAGATATTCATATTCCATACTAACAGTTAGCATATCAAATTTCTTTATTCTAGTCCTGTTATAACTCTGTTTTCTTACAGGTTAATGACCCAGCTATTCCTATTGCTTAGTATTCTTGGACACCGATTCACTCGACAAGTCCCCAAATCAAAACACAGTTGAACAGGAAGAGATTATATTCCAAATAGCAAGTCAGAAGCCAGTAGGAACGATAGATCCCCAAAAAGTCCCAATCGATTATAATAACACAAGTAGAGGAGCCGACTGATTTTACAACTCTGTATTTAATACGTTACTATCGTATCAGTCATTATCAACACAGAGATTGTTATTGACGTCTGCCTGCCCAATTCCCTATATCACATCAAGTAGATGAGATAAAATATAAGACAAGATCAACAAGTGTAAACAGTAGTAGTATCAGTAACAGTGAGAAAGAAAGGAAACTACAAAAAAGGGATAAATGCTATGAACAAAAAGTATCATACAATACTGAAACTCAAGACAACAGAAGATGAGTAGTGAATGTCTTTGCCACTGTGACCTACTTGGGGTCATGTCAAACAATATTTTTAAACACGGATTCCTTTTATCGTGTGGACTCCAACCAGATAGTCTGCATCTGCCTGTACAGATCAGTCGAATCAATCAATGACTTCATGAACTCATTTCATATCTTGTCTCCGCCCCCCTCTCCTAGTTGAATTCGCCTAGGTAACAACCAGATACTTATGCCAATTACGATGACAGGGGTTTCTAATGAGAAACTCAACAGCAAACCAGATTTTTACAATTTCATTTACAGTTGTCTTGGACAGGTCGTTTATGAGTTACATTGCTTTATAAACTTAAAATATTACATTTTAATAAAGGTTATCGAACCATACCCCCGATCACTGGAATAAAAACATATTCACATTTATATTTGGTGTATTTAGTTTACATCTATCAACCTATAATTCATCTATCTAGATAGTATTGAAGAGAAAAAATAGAGATAATCAGATGACAAAGTATAATTAATTTAAAATTATAAATTCGAGTCAATTTAATATGAGGGTATCATTTTCTTTATGTCTCTACTAAAATAACTCATCAAATTGAGACATGGAGATTTTTTTCAGTACGTTTCCATCATAGTCCCATACTAATAGATGATTTTTTCAATGTGAATATGAAATTAATATCACTTATATGGTTACGCGACAAGGAAGATAAAATTTTAGCATCTCTAGATGGATGACACAATTATAGTTCTAAAAAGTTAAGGATAAAGTAGTAAATAGGTTGTACAGTTTACCAAACCGTCACTTATACAATGAAAAAAAGAAAAGTGGTAGTATTCCATTTTATGAAGACTGTGTTACTGAGGTTTAATGGAAAGAAGTGCATATTCGGAATTGTCATTATCAGGCAAGTATACTAATTTATTGAGCTCTGTTCTATTACAATAGAAAAATGATTTAGTTAGATATTTGATCTACAAAGCTAAAACTATTCACTTTCGTGACATTTTCTAAGAGAAGTTTCAAATTATCTAAGTCCCACTTAGTACAAATAGATACTAAATAATTGTTATGAAATTGATTAGATAACTGAAGTAAATAACAGTTTTAAATAACTTAAATTCTATGATCACACTATAACGGCGTGAAAATGATTGCAGGCATAAGTTTGTAACAAGTATATAATAAAAAACGAATATTAGCAGTACCAGTTCTGTTGATGACATTCAAACGATAGTCTTCATCTAACAAGACAATTCGAATTGTTCATTGTCATTTAAAAAGTGGATACTACAATAAACGGTCTTCATTTACAACAACAAGGCAGAAATACCTAGATCAAAGTATTTATTTATGAGTATAGGGATCTGCAGGAAAAAAACTCACAAGAGTTATTATTCGTGCTAACATTTACTCCATGTTCCTCATCTACATGAACCATAATTCCTGAGGAAATTTCTTGTTTGTTCACCTCACCACGTTGAACAATAGCAGTAGTGACAGTTGAAGGAGAAGTTATACTAATTGTAGTATGAATGGTAGCATTAGTTGTATTTATTGTTGTAGTTTCAGGAGTCATTATTGTTGTCATCTGCAAAATAGATGTTGATTTCTTAATTTGTGGTTGTTGATGTTCTGACTTTACAGTATGGTCGGAACCGCCTAGACCACTATCTACATCACCAGAATTTTGTTGTTTCTGTTCATCTTCAGGTGAATCAAACTCACTGGATAATAAAGATAATTTGTGTTCATCGTCTGGATGTATATCTATGCCAATTAGTTCCAATGAAGATGAGGATGATGAAGGCGAAATGGATGGGGACGATGGAAGTGAACTAGTGGTTGGATGGACAGAAGTGTGAACATTTTGGTCAGGTATTTTGTCGCCATTTTCATTAGTGATTACATCTGGCTCATATGATTTGCTAGGATGATATATTACAGAAGAACCGGAGATTGGTTCTAATGATTCGGCATTCTTCACGATCTGTTCATTCGTTTTCATTGAATTAATGTTACATGTTTGTTGTTGATGGTGTTCAGAGGTAACTGAATTATTTGGCCATTCAGAAGACGGTATCGTTGGTGCTGGTGATTGAATTGACGGAGGTGACGATTTCGCATTTAATTTGTTCACACCAGCTAGATAAATTTCACTAGCTGTACGTTTGTATTTTTCAACACTATCACGACATATACGACGCATATATGTATCATTAATTACAGCACGTGATGCATATCTTGGTGGAGCTTTAATACGTGGAATAGGCAGTGGGTGAATTGTAGCAGGTGATAGTATACTATCTTTATTACTAATGCAACTATTATTGCTGTTTATAGTGGTATTCGGGCTCCAAATACCATAACCAGGATGTAACTGCATGAATGTGCGAAAACATGACCGACGACTAGATGTAGGTGGGCTACTATCTCGTGTAAGCACTGAACTGAAGGCAATGTTTGGTGATGTCGCGCCATCAATTGTTGTTACTGGTGTTCTTGATATAACAGGAGTTGAATGAGATATGGGAATATGTGGAAGGGTAGTAGAAGAAGAGGGAGGAGGAGGAGGAGAATGATCATCATGAGCATTTGGACTTTGATCAATTAACCTATTTTTATGAGGAAGGAAAACATACAAACATGAAAAACGGTGAGTTTTTTCTTACATGTAAAATAATGAATTACAATAATTAAGGCTCCTATTTCGGGTAATGGCAATTAAATGATCGAATAACATGGATCGGTGATAAAAATGTATCTCTTTAATATGATCAATATTTAAACATAAATTGTCAAGGAAATTTATGAAAATAGAAACTACTGAGTTTAAAATTATAAAAGAAAACAATCTAATTAAAAATAGTAATCAATATCAAGTTTACCTAATCGTTAGCACTAATTAAACGCTATCAAACAGGTTGTAGTGCGACCACCAGTATCGACTGCAGCTGCTACCACTAACCCGGCAGTAGGACCTCTATACCATAGTGACATAGTAAAGCTAATATTGGCTAAAACACCGTTTTCTTTATGTCCTAGCATGCCAGGTTAGTCGACTGGGGAACTGTGAGACCAAAAGCAGCAAACTTACATTCAAAGTTGGGAGTTGACCTACCGAATGTACAGAGGTTTGATGGCAGTAAGTTTTTCCCTCTTACAAACATTATCGACAGATGCTACATTCATAAAATGAAAGGAGAAAATTCGAAAAGTCCGATTCATAAAATTACTGTTATAAAGCCTCAGGAAACGTGAAATTGAAACATCAAGAGCTACTAACAAAAATAATGTGTAACCAGTCAGTCAGTCAGTCAGTAACAACGTAGAACTTCGTACGCACGTACATCAGTTCGAGTTGCCACACCACATTAGCACAGAGATGCACTTGTCGATTCAAATCCCGTAGTGGTAGAGGTAATAAGAGTATAAGCAGTAATCGGGAAGATTAGGGTTTGGAGATGTTATTTAAAGAGTATAATCCAGTGAAAGAAATTTGGAAAGAGGAAAAAAGGGACATGAAGAATTCAGAAGATTAGAATTTGGGAGAACACAAAGAGAGGATGCACCTGCGCCATTGCAAACGATTTTGAGCCATGTCATTCAGGGTCTCTAACCATCGGTTGCTATCATCTCGCGGTCCCCAACCAGGTAGTCTACACCTACCAACATGGCTCAGTTCACTTGTCAGTGACTTCATGGACTTGTGCCATGTTTTGGTCTGGCCGCCCCTAGCTTTCTTCCAATCTATTCCTATACCACTGAACATCGCACGTCGAGGCAGTCGGTCGTTGGGCATACGTAACACATGTCCCAGCCATCTCAACTGATGAAGTTTCACTACTTCATCAATTGATTTGCCATCCTTATCTAGTACCCGTTTCCTAACAATTGTGTTACTTACTCTGTGGTCCCAGGATATACGAGCAATGTTTCGAAGACACCTATGATCAAATACTAGTAACCTACGGATATCCTCTACTCTTACCGGCCATGTTTCACTGCCATAAAGTAGGACGGAACGAACTGCTGCGCAGTAAAAACGTCCTTTGGTTGATAGACGGATATCTCGCCTACGCCATAAATGACGCAAGTTGGCAAAAGCTAGTCGAGCCTTCTGTATCTGTGCTGAGATTTCGTCACACACCAGACCACAAGGGCTGATAAGACTTCCAAGATAAGTGAAGCGATCGACACGCTCAATTATTTCACTCCCTATCACTAGTTCGGGTGTCGATGTAACCCAATCCTGAAGCAACATTTTGCATTTCGAGGGAGAGAATCGCATCCCGAACATGCTTGCATTGTTGCTTAGAGTAGTCAGAAGACTCTGCATTTTGACAGCGCCTTCACCAAATAGAACTATGTTATCGGCACATTCCAAATCAACAAGTGAACCTCCCGGTAGAAGTTTTACCCCTGGAAATTTAGATGAGGAAAGTGTTATCTCTAAAAGTACGTCGACGACAAAGTTAAACAAGAATGGAGAGAGTGGACAGCCCTGACGAACACCACTTGAGGTAATCAATTCTGATGACAGTTCACCATAAGCTCTCACTCTACCAGTTGTGTTCGAGTAGAGAGCCTTTATAAGGTTAATGTACTTCTTTGGTACTCCTTTCAGTGACAAACACTGCCATAGAACCTCACGATCAATAGAGTCGAATGCCGCCTTAAGGTCGAGAAATACTACAATTGTGGGGCGTCTCAATGTGTGTCTGTGTTCTAGAACCTGACGTAGTGTGAATATATGGTCTATGCAACCACGTCCAGGTCGAAAACCAGCCTGATTTTCTTTGGTCTGTTCTTCACGAGCTTTGGTTAGGCGTTGAAGTATTATTGAAGCTAATATTTTAGACACTACATTTGTCAAACTGATTCCTCTGTGATTGTCACAAGGGGACTATTTTCCTTTCTTATAGACTGGCACAATCAGTGATTGAGACCAGTCAGATGGGATTACGTCCAGTTCCCAAATTCTACCTAAGACCTCGGTTAATCTCATTGCTAATACTGGGCCAACATCCTCAAAAATCTCAGGAGTAAACCCGTCAGGGCCTGCTGCTCTCCTTCGCTTCCGATTTCCTATGGCTTTTTCAACTTCGTAAAGGGACGGAGGACTTACATTAACTTGCCATTCAGGTTGACTGGAGATCGTGGGAAACCGAAGTGTGGCTGAAGGCCAGTTGAACTGATCCCTAAAGTGTTCTGCCCATCGATCAAATCTCCTGGATTGAGAATGTATAATATGTCCATCTTTCTCTGAGAGTGTTTCGCTAATAGTCGGTTCCCTTAACAAGTCTGAACAGTTGTCTGCTATTACCTATTGCCGCTGCCTTTTCCATCTCTCTTGCTTTCGCTACCCACCACTGTTCACGATCATTGTGTAGACTTCTTGTCAGCTTGCGCTTGAGCTGACTCCGCTCTTCATTATGTTCAGAGCCAGGTGGAATGAGTTTCCGAGCATTTATCAGTGCGATAGATGCTGCTGAGATCCTGTGTTGCTCCCTAACCTTGCGGTTTACCGTACTAGCAGATATCACTGCTGTTTCCACAGCTTTTCGGATATCATTCCATGCTGCATCGGGGTGGGCATCACATACATGGCTGCCTAACTGTTTTCCTAGTTGTTCCTGAAATATACTCTTAGCTTGACTATCATTAAGTAGGGCCCTAAGAGGTTTACTTGCAGCGTCTTTCCTACGTCCAGTAAGACGCAAGCAAATACGCGCTCGCACTAGAGCATGATCTGAATCTAGGCATGTGCTCCAGAATGAGCGACAGTCTTCTATCGAGCCCCTCCATCGATGGATGATAGCGATGTGATCCATTTGGGTCCAACGTTGAAACGAATTAGGGGGTCGCCATGTTAAAAGATGTTTTTCCTTATGCTTAAAGTTAGTGTTTGCAAGGAACAGGCGGATATCTGAGCATAGCTGCAACAGACGGTCGCCATTATCTGTTCTTTGAGCCATGATGCTATAAGATCTACCCAGGTGTCTTTCCCTATCGCTTAGTTTACCTACTTGAGCATTAAAGTCACCGGTCACTATTACTATATCCGAGGGCCGAGCTTTTAGGAGGAGGTCCGAAAGCTTTCTGTAAAACTCATCTTTTACATCATCTGAGCTGCAGTCAGTGGGAGAATAGGCAGAGACGACGAAGAGGCAACGACGAGTGTCCCTATCTTTCCGGATTCTTACTGTTCCGTTCAGTCGGACAGCGCACAAACGACTGTTTACTGGGATCCACTCTAAGAGAGCTAGTTCTGCCCTAGGACTCAATGCTATACCTACGCCGGCGAGGCCACGGGAAGCAGAATCAGGGCTTCCAGATACACGAAGCGTAAATCGAGTCGGTTCTTTATTTCGGCATGGTGAGGTCAAATGAATGACGCTACTTGGATCCTGTATGCGCGTTTCGGAGACGCAGCACACATCGATGGTGCGAGATTCTAAAGTTTTAGCTAAGGAAGCCTGCTGTCCTATTTGGCAAAGTGTTCGTACGTTAAAAGCTCCTACGTGTAGTTTAGAGCGTGGTTTCAGGAGACCAGGAATGGCGTTCCACGTACTCGAACCGTTTGCCCTAGCGGTGCGAGGTGATAAAGAGACGTGAGGAGGGTTAGTCATGGAGATAAGAGAGGTATTAGGAGGTGTAGGAAGGATTTGAATGTGACCACCTTGGTCTCTTGTGCTGTTACGGGTATGAGGGCTGATGTCACTTCCCGGCTGCCCACACCGTGGAAGGGTATTTCTTGAGGAACCTGAAGAGGAAGTTGGATTAACGTTGACCTTAACGACCTGGGAGTGTGACCGCAGAGCCCAAGGGACAACTGCTTGGGGCCGGTAGCGCACGGCCTTCTCGTGGGAGGTTTTTAATGTGTTAGCTCCGTTCTTCAAGGGGCCTTACCGCCGGAGACAGAAATCCGTGAGGTAAGGTGAGGTGTGACATTTTTAGTGTCGACCTTTTTTAACCCCCCCCTCCTTGTGGGAAGGCAGCATAGCTGCAGATGCTGGTTGTCCAAGGGAAACATCTTACTGCTGTCACACCTCTCTACAGTCAGCAGTACGACTTCGCCCTCAGACCTTGAGTTGCTACTTTTAGTCTTACCGTTCTCCAATCGACCTGCCTGGCATGGTAGAACCTCAAGAACATATGTTCCAGCCAATATGGCTCGGCTGGGTCATCATGATAGGCAAGCCCGACCACTGCGTCAAGATCGCAGCTTCGGTCGGGCAGTTGTTTATTGGGTTCTATGTTCATACTACCTAGTCATCAAGATCACCAGTAACTCAGTGTCCTTTCCAGGTACAATTAAACTAGTCGAATGATTCTCGCCGATTACAGCCAAATATTAACTTGTATAAATAATAATACTTTTCTCAAAAGCACATATAATCAAAACTGACAGGAAGAACAATTTTATGCAAAAAATAATTTTGAAACGAACCAACCAAACAAACTTTGTTAACATTCTGAAATTAATTGAAAAGATGAGACCGTTTATATTATCGTTTTAGAAGATAATACTGATAAAGTAAAATGTCATGTTATTAACAACTTCAATCATTTCACATTAAATCGAATTAATAAATATACAACGATGATAACA